AAAAGAGGCGTCATCGGCGGCCTCTTGAGGTCCCCGATGACGACCCCAGGATGACCCTGGAGGAGCAAACGGACACCGGAAATGGAATCGGCACATCCGAAAACCCCCGGATACGCGTTTTGGTGCCCGTCCTAGCATTCTTTAACAAAGTAGGTTTTTTGAATTTTAAAAATAACGGTCAAAAGTAACGGTTTTTTCGGTTAACATGTAATTTCTCATCCCGGAAGTTAGGGCAACCAACAAGCTTTACCTTTCAAAGCATGGGCAAAGTCTTCTTCTTGTGGCGTGAGGTCAGTTGGTTCTTGATTGAAAGCTAGCGCTAGAAAATCGACAATGTTCCGTGGGTTCATTGTGAATATCAATCATGCTAGATCAGTTGGTGATCTGAATAAGCGGGACGCCCGCCCGAGCTGGTAGGTTGGCAAGCCGAGTGCAATTGACTAAACAGGTGGACTGATCACCCCTGTCGTAGGGCTCCTGTATCGAAGCTATAATGTATGCAGGACGGAAAAATGTGACTCCTCTGACCGAACCCCCTCAATTTCGTAAAAGAAATGTGAAGCGTTCTTGATCCCAATCCTTCGAATCGATCGATTACGTCACGAACAAAGGGGGTGGCGGGAAGTGGACACAGGGTTCAAACTGGTTCAAACAAATACAATAAGAAAATGTCGAGGAAATTCTAGAATGGCCCAGGATTAGCACCAAAATGCGTATCCGGGGGTTTTCGGGTGTGCCGATTCCATTCCCGGTGTCCGTTTGCTCCTCCAGGGTCATCCTGAGGTCGTCGTCGGGGACCTCAAGAGGCCGCCGATGACGCCTCTATCGAAAATTCGTATCCGGGGGTTTTCGGGTGTGCCGACTCCATTCCCGGTGTCCGTTTGCTCCTCCAGGGTCATCCTGGGGTCGTCGTCGGGGACCTCAAGAGGCCGCCGATGACGCCTCTATGTGAAATTTGCACTCGGCGGTTTTCGTTTCTGGTGTGCCGAGTCCATTCCCAGTATCCGTTCGTCGGGAGGTCGTCGTCGGGGAAAACAGGCCACCGATCGTACCCCTCACCAAAACCCTAGATGTGTGGCGTTTCCGAGTAAACCCAGCACATTGTAGGTGTCTGTATGCACTTCCAGGTTCATTATTA